CTATGAGTTTCCTTTTTGGGCCAGCACCCATGTAACCAATATTTGAGCCTCTGAAACCCGTGATTATGGACAACACAGGAACCAACCCACGTATAAAAAATCCGCTTGAACAATTTGATCTAATCATACTACACATACCTCCGACGAAATATAGAACCTCAAAAGTTTGTGGTTAGCTTTCAGTGAGAATAGAGAGATTTTGGTCATTTTGGCAGAGGAGAACACTTCAAGTAGAAATAGAGAACGCTAAAAAGACATTTATTATAATCTGTCTTGAACAAGTTTTGATAATACACTTAATAATTATTCTCTGATACATTTTATGACCAAAAACCTACTCACCATCGCACAATTTGCAATCTAACTAACGACAAGATAGCTGTTACAGGTGTTGTGGCCAAAAAAGGCAATCGGCCGTCAGGGGGTGGACACGCCCGCTGCGCGGGCTTTGCCCACCCCCACCGTTCACCCATTTACTGTAATACCAGACCTTCCTCGGCACTTCGCTTATATCAAATACTAGTGGTTCAGTGCCTTCACTGGTTGACCAGAGCGAGGCTGCGGACTTTACCAAGTCCAGAGGGACGTTCAAGGTGGACAACACCAAGCATCCGTCATTCCTGTAGACATCATTGAGCGAAATGCCCACCTTATTCCCAAGTGAGGCCGCGTTGTTCCTGCCCGATGGAACATCTGACAATGTTCTGGAGGAATCTACAACACCACATGTTAGTTTGTTCAAAGATATGTCCTCATACTTCAATATCTGATAGTCTCAGATACTAGCTGCGTTGTCGATCAAGCTCAACACTGTAACCAGCTTTGCTTGTTTGATATCCACGTTATTCCACATACCTGTAAATTGCTCAACCAAAACCGAACCAAAAAGTTCGGAAAACTTCTTGGAATTTTAGCTGATTGTTCCGTTTTCTTGCTCATTACTCACGTGCTGAGAACTTACGCAAATTTTAGACATGTTTCCTTATCTTCCTTCTTTTATTGGGCAGAGGGTTTTCCTGATGCGCCAGTTAGTATAGTACTTTTGACAAGAAATTTCGGCCGCTATTTCGGCCACTATTTCGACCGCAATTCTTGCTGGATTTTCTACCTTTATTCCGAACGCATTTTAGGCCATTACAGTGACACAAACTGTCATACTTCCAGACAAATATGGAAAGCCCCTTGGATCACTTACTACATCCAGATGCTCAGCCATCCATCCATCCTCTCGCCGGGTTCATATCACAAAACATAGCACATAGCACATTCTTCCTATGTTCCCGGGCTCTTTCGGCCGATTTTGATACATGTTTTGATACCCCAAATAGGCAGGAGCGGCGCTCAGCCAGGTTGGTGTTGTGGCTTGTTTGTGTTCGACCCTTTTAGGATATGTCTGGAATGCATAATCTCTGTAATTGGATTCTTGGAATAGCTCACCACTCGCTTGTGGTATTGCCCTGAATGTATATCATGTCCGCAAGTCCCGCATTTTGAATGATAGGTTCTCAGGGATAGTGTTGCCCCATTTGGCGAACTGACCGAACCAAGCGAACTAAAGTTGTACTTGCACATTTTATCAGTCCGGATTACATACCTCGTCGTTGTGTAAAGGCTAATAATCGCAAAGTTGCTGGTCGGTATTGTGGTAAGAAAGGGTATTGCCAGGAGTTGGTTTGAGCTAGTTTCTCGAACCGCGGCATTAATACTACTCAGGGAGGCGGGAACGTTACATCCTTTCTGGCTCTCTCGCCCGGTTAATTGGGATATGGCACGAAAAAGTACAGTGGTGTTGCAAAAAGCAGTCAAGTCCGGCTTTGAACCCAGATCTCTTGTTCTCACCCAACGTACTTACGACTACCCCTTGGTACATGTTGTGAATAACGAATGGGTTGTGAACGAGAGAAATTGTACACTACGTGCAATTACGGAACTGTGTATGGCCCTTCAAGTTGGGTCAACTGATGTCCCTACAGTCAAAATAAACATCACAGTTGTTCTCCCATTTGTACACCCCTTTGTCTCCAACAGGCTATGTCTAGCCTGTCAAACAGAATACAACACTCAGGTTGGTGATATCGAAGCATAACTAACCATTCCTATGCATACTGGCTACATGACTGGAAAAAAACTACCATTTACGTGATCCCTCTCCCATAACAGCTGCTTAAACGAGGCCGTCTTGCCAGTAACTAGAACCTTCTACGTAGATTGCAAACACGTTCCCTATCTCATACGCACGCCGGTATGCACTTACCGCGTCCGCATGGTCAGCAAAGCCCTTGTGTCTCGCGCTGGACACGTGCTTGACGCGGGCTTCAGCCTGAGGCCTACCGCGATAACTAGTCAATAAATGTCCAGCAACTCAATTGAGGCTATGTGAGCACACCATGTGTAGAAAATACCCGTCTGCAGTCCAGCATAAACAACGTAAGATTTTTCAGCGTGGGGCGGGCGCCGAGGAATGTTATCTGGATGGCAGACGTTGCGATGATTGTAGACAGCATTTTCGTGTGTGTATATGATGGGAGGAGAGTCAGCCCTCCAATCGTGCGCATTGTCTAGTTGTGGCGCCGGGGCACTAGAATGAGGATTAGGGGGCGCATCATTGTCGTAACCTACAGGGATGAATACTTACCGAGTTGTATTCAGAAGCGACGAAACTGCTGGCGGTGTGGGCGATGCGTGGCTCACGCGATCGTCGTGAGATGAGACCGAGGGAGTTTCACTGTGAGTGGATTCTCGAGCGGGTAATGCAGAGGCCGCCGTCGTGTGAGCTGAAGGGGGAGGGCTGGACGGATGCGTCGCGGGAGGGGACGTGCTCTCATACACGGTACGAACGGTGGTAGTTGTCGTCGTGGTCTTAGTCTTAATGACACGCCGAGGCATGGCTGTCGTACGGCAAAAAGGGTGAAGAGAAGGGTTAGCCAAGGGTATATCGAGATATCATATATCAGGTTGCAGGTGATCTGACGGCAACCGCCGATCGCATGTCGGCACGGTGTCGGCACCAAGCTGCTGTCATCCTACACGGGCAAGGGCTGTATCTAATTCTGAGCTAGAAATATGATTTCTAGCTACACGCTGATTGATTTCAGTTCAGAGCTACGTTTTTGATTCACAACGAGCCCGAATCAAAGTTGTGCATTTCCACGCCAAACTCGTTTGACTCAGAGCCACCCGCATTTGGCGGAACTTATTGACCCCGAGGCTCTGCCGGTTTTCCCGATTGCCTTCCGGTTCATTCCGCGCTCTCTCGTATGTGATGATGGGATTCATGGGAAGCAAAAACATTGTTATTCGAGCGACATACAGCATTATTATTGTATTTAAGCAGCTAACAAAGTCCTAGAACCAGGAGTCACATGGTAAGACCCAGATTGCTCAGGCGAGGGGTACCACTAGGCCACTGGGCGTGTTCGAAATGGAGTCGGAGCTCTGCTCGGGGCGGAAGTGGTGTAGCGACTGGTGGGGATATGTTCGACGTTGGAGATAGCAGTGTATGGACGCCCGTAGAACCTCCTGTCCTTCTGTTAACCCGAATTGAGCTCATGAATATAACTCAAGCTCACCTCCTCCATGCTTCTCGAAGAGCGCTAATGAAAGCTCTTCAATTGATACTCACTTCTTCCGGCAGGCGAACTCAATGAGCTGCAAGGAAATCAGATGGAGGTATTGAGAAAAGAAACCCACTCACCAAGCCACGACTGCGTGTACGAGTCTGATGCAGCGTGGCTGTACTCGGTCTTCAAGACCGCTTCACACGCGGGGTTGCCAAAGACGTCCTCGAACCCAAGACGTACTTGGTTATCATTACTTAAAATAATCCTGATAAGAATATAAGTCAGTAAAAGTAGAGCTGCGTATATGCATTGCAAAAGGGTCATTCGCGAGCAGAAACTCATGGAACTTCATGTAATCCGATTGGCCGGGGCTGATCATCAGCTCGTGCACGCAAATACGAACATTCGTCTTCAACAAGTCAGCTAGTAAACATGGACCCTAATTCTGTTCCATCCTGCACTTTACACTAACACACTTCCCCAATCGTCAAACGGCTACTTAGATGCTGGAGAGCAGCGCCGGCGTGTCCCGTAGTATCTTAATCAGTATTGATGGTAAACAAACCAAAAAGGGCTTATCGGGGCGCTGTCTTCAAAACTAAACGTGTTGAGCTTCACCAAGTCAGAGATCTGCTCGTTGGTGAGGCGCTCTGCGACAGACTTCCCGTCCTCTCTGTGAGTGTTGCATGATGGGATCATTGGATTACCAACAGCCGTACGATGATCGATAGCTGTGGGGTATGCATTGTCATGAAGGAGATAACTCGCATATGTAAGATTAAGGTAGCCTTTTGTTGACCTTGGTTTGACGTTTTGATATGATGAGGATTTCCTTTTTGACCTTGGCCTGCGACGCTCATTCCGAACCGAACAATTACCGAAGGTGAAAAAACACTATGTACTGATACGTGGCTGGTTAGTACATGTGCAATTATCTAAAAAAATTGAGTAGGGGCGTCCAAGTGGTGGCACGGCAATGCCCGTCACCCCTTCCCGAGACTGTTTCGGGAGTGTGTAACACAAGAGTGCGCACGAGAGGTGCCCAACTTGTGCGACTTTATCGATCAGATGTTAGCGGTATTGGTTCTTGCGATTCAGAGTCATGTCGTCGATCGATGCAGAGGCCCGGCGGTCATTCACTAAAATTATGTGTGCGGGAATGTTTGTGGTAAACGTTTATCCCAGAACAATTGCAAGGTCAAGTTTCAGATCTCAGACTTTGGCGGCATTGTCGAATACAGGGTTACATTATGATTACATACATCGAGCAACATCTATTTGTAGGGAATATGTGTTGAGGAGGTGTAGATGTAGCGATGTCTCAGAGAATGATATTACGATAGCAAAGCCAATCACGGCCCAAGTTCCCAACACGATATCGGTCGAAAGCTCATCAGCGAGGATAGCACGCAT